AACGTCAGCCGTTTTCAAGGTTTCTTAAGGTTCGACAACACAACTAATAGACGTACTAGGTGAACCGTGCCTGACAAAACCGCGTGCCAGTGCCTTGGCCACTGAGAGGAGTTGCGCACGTTGGTCCACAGCTCCGTGCTCACAGAAGTCAGCTTCTGCGTATCAGAAACAGGCGCCGATGTAATCAGGCTTGAAGGTGGGGACGTAAAAGTCCTAACCTACAACAGTTTTAGTGTGTTTCGTCAAAACGAGGATGAAATATATAAATGGGGAAAGAATTCCGAGGATATAGAATAATGTCGTGATACGTAGAAACGAAAATGAACAAACGACACAGTGTTACAAAAAAGAACAGACTCACAGATTATCGCTTGGTGTGCCAAATCACGTCGGGCTCACCACCAGTGAAATTACAGATATTCAGGGTTCGATAATGCTTTTGCCCGCAATTCCTTTATAATCGAAGGACATCAACCCCATCAAATCAGAGTCCATGGGTGAAGAGATTCGAGGATATATTCACAGGTTTGTGGATAGACTCTGAGGCTTTTTTTCTAAACCTGCAGGTAGTTTTAACGGGTGTGTAGCACGGCGAGCCCCCTCGTCATATGGTGCATATGAGTGACCGAGTGCCGTCGGCTAGGCGCGTCCGGTAAAACTAATGAGATCAGAACTGATGTTGAAAACCTACGGAACTATCCATTTTGCGGAGTTATTTACAGCCACACTTTGTTCTACTGTTTAAGGATGGATCTGCTGAAATTTGGGCTGTTTGTGAAGTGTAGCAGCAGTTTTGCTTATCAACTGAATCTTCCGTTTTTGATTACCTTTGAAGGTATAAAATCCTCTTCACACTTATACGAGTTGGATTTTCAGTTACATCAATTAAGAGGTGTTAGGCTTTTGTTTTCAGTATTCGTCACTTTTAGGGCTTTGAATATTTATTCCCATTATTAAACTTTTGTTTCTGTCAAATTTTTATCTATGAGCTCACCTAACAATTTCAATGGCTCAAACAAACATCATTAGGACGGACCGGCATTCTTTTTTACGATCAACGATGAATCGTGATTCCTCAGCTGCAACAATTGTCATCACAACATATGCATCGAACTCATACTTATTGACACATCTGGTTCAGCAAGCTAATATCACGTTGATTGTCCGGAAGATGATGCTCTGTAAAGTGTTCACTGGTTCATTAGGCGAACGAGTTGCCAAAGCCAGCAGCTGACGTTTGGCTATCAGATCTCGAGGAGGCGATGAATCTCCTCTTCAGTTTATCTTCATATCTGGATGATACCATCAGGTTTACCCTTTCAACGTAGTGCGTAACAAATACACATATGTAGGCTTGATTACAAAGAATAATAGTGCGCGGGAAAATGTGCATTACAGGAAGCTCTCAAATATGCTAATCGATCATATCAAAGCAAAATGGATTATGTAAGAGCAAAGCCTGAACGTTATATATGTGATTAAGAAGTAAAATAAGGTCAGTTGTCAAATATGAGTAGCGTAAAGAAAATGAAGAAAAAGGCGAGGCTTAAATGTTTGCGGCCAAATAGGACTGTTGAGAAGAGAATAGTTTGGGAAACAAAACTACAAGGCTGTCAGAGAGAGGTCAGTAGGTTTTCACAAGCTAGGAAATTCTTCCTTAAAGGAACCAAAGGTTGGATTCGAACACAACCTAAGCCATATTAAGTCTGCAAGAATTCAGCCACATCAGCGTAAGTTAGCATTGCTAAGCTTAACAGAATAGGACGGTACTCAGGCAAGTCACCTCCTAAAACTCACTTTTGATCCCAATGAGGAAAGAAACCTATTAATGGAGAATTCTTGCAAACTGACTGGATCCGGGATATAGGTTTGTACGGAACTAAGCGTGGTTGGTGATATAAAAAGACTTATGAAGAGGCAGAAATAGATGAGCGTCGACGGAACTGTAAAAATGAGCCTCTAGCTTGAGGGTTTTCACATTGTAAAAGGTCAACGCAAAACGGTGATCAATTCAACATGAGAAGTATGGGAAATTGTTGTACAGAAATAAAGGTATGTTTTATAATGGCCTATAGCCTACTACATAAAATGGCAGGGCTCGAAAAACTATATACATAGAAAATTCTGATGTCATTGCTATCTCGGAAACATACCTAACGTCAAAAATGCATGGTGGTGAAATTTACTTTTTTAATTTCTTACTCTGTAGGTTCGACAGAATAAACCATGGGGGGTGGAATTATCCCGTGCACGAAAATCACCTTAACCATATGAGCTGTTGAAACAGTGGCACACCACTAAAAGACATGTGACTCCATGTGTCGAAGACTGAAATGCAAAGTACGAGACATTTAATTAGTTGTAGTATGTCGCAGTCCAGAATGTGTGATGGGTGAATCCCTTTTAAATAAGCTTAGATTCTGATCAAATAGGTGTGAAAGTCGTATGGCAAGTGACCGCAATTCACCCTTCACAAATTGGTCAAGCTCGGAAGTAGTGTCATCAAAAACACAGTTTCATTAAGAACTGCAAGAAACCACAATCGTAATGGCTTTATTCCATCACATCTGAGATCCCACCAGCAATGACCTACAAAGTCTCTTGTCTGTAATGGACTCAGCTTCACACACGGCGATGATGTCAGTCACCTATAGGAAAAAAGTGACCAAGCGGTAATCATATCATATCATAGCAGTTGTCACAGACCGTAATAACATATGAAAGGTAAGCATGGAGGCTACCACCTTTTCAGCCTCGACTGAAAACTGATTCCGGCACATCAGTAGAAGCATAAACTAATTTTCACCAGTTATATAGTGAAGTAACCCAACTATTTATACTTTAGATAATGCCCAAGAAGAAGAACGGCCTTTCTTGGATAGACCGGGATATTCGACGTTTACCAGGAAATGGAAAAATTACCGGAACGTCTCGACCGGCCTTAGAACAGTACATACGATGGACTTACAGGTCGAATCGAAATAAGTGTTCGAGCACAATGCAGGAAACTCAGTGCAAATATGAGAAGCAGTTGGCACTATTCTCGTAAATAAATTACTAAACGGGAACCTATCGTAGATTTCAACCTAATAACGGAAGAGAGGGAATCTCAAACGATAGGGGAATGCTAGGACAAAACAGAGACCATAATGAACTATCACGAGACGGTTAACACTGAGAATCGGATGAACTAAACCCCAAAACGTTGGGATAAATTGAATGAAACAATCCTGGACCACTGACTACTTTGTTCAGTACGTCACTTTGTCAAGATGAGGTACCTATAGATTGGAAGGGTGCACTTGTCACTTTGATTTGTAAAACAGGACTCTACAAAGCTATCAGCCTCACGAGTGGTGCAATTAAAATGACAGAAAAATTAATCGAAAAGACCAAAATCACACCAGTGGAAACCAACGATTTTTAAACAACGAACAACATGGAGGTATCATTACCAGGGTCTGACTTCGTGATTTCAGATAAATTAAGCATTGGGTAGATTGTTATAGGTAAAAATAATTTATTTGTAATATCCAAATAAGTACAAAATTTAGATTTCCTGCCTCCTTATAAAAAGAGAGAAATAGACAATGGCTCTAAACACAGGAAAGTCAGCGGATATTTTCTGCGTATACTTCGATAAAGCTCCTGAGGTGCTAAAACATAGACTACTCGTCAGGCTGGAAAATCTAGGAATTGTCGGACCTGCGTTATCGTGGACCGAAAATTTCGTGGTACATTGTGGACAGAAAGACAGAATAAATCCCAAACGCTCTGAATATAATAGAATAGTTATTAGTCGTGAAATGTTAGGGATCATAGAGAGTAGCCATGCCGTCTGGATCAAGTGTTCTTGTGCTCACATTTTCCGATTATCTTTAGGTGTTCAACGAATAATATGGATCTTCTAGGTTGTATAGCTTAGCATGTATAGCTCAGCATGTATAACTTAGAAGGTTGTTTAGTTAGAATCCAATGTCACTACAGTTTTTTTGATACTGTCTAGTGTTAGTCTCAACAACTCATCTGGGTATAGTTCAGACAATTAATTATACGCTGGCTCTGGACAGCATATATTAGCTTGTGAGCTTCACACCATTGGTTTTGGTCGTGATTATCTGTTATCATCAGTCTTGAGTTACATTTCTTGATGTCAAATGAAATAAGACACCGTTGATTTACGTTCACATCCGGATTGTTTGGTGTAACAGTATGCAATTTGCAAAATGCTTTGAAATCAAGTATGATTGTCACATCAGTATGAGGTTTTTTTAGCAAAAGTACTTTCTTTAGAGCTGTGAGAAAAATCTGCATTGGGATCATATCATTTCTATTCATATTTCTTTGGAGTTGTGATAGAGACAGACGTATAACCAGCAGTTTACAACAACTTTAGATTATTTAAAACACCTAGAGGATATGAACAGTGGACATCGGTCATATAGGAAGACTTTGAGTGGCATAAACACTTTTTAAGACGTCGAAAGATCTTTATAATCGTTATTGGTTGTAAAATAAAATTTCTCATCCCTTTAATTCCTCTCTATACAGAAAGTAAGATAAAAGATCTAAGACATCCTATTTAGCGTTCAGTTATTTAAACCAAATAAATAAAATATCATTTGTTCATGTTGATGTCGTGAACCAGACACAGTAATTTCTCAGTAGACTTCTGGTAACTTCAGCTCTATTCCGTACCTGTGTTCAGTTCTACACTACGGAGATAGGTACCAATAACTGTTTAGGTTATTTTGTAACAGGGTCTCGTAATATCTAGAAAGCTATTTAGAATCGCACGAGCAGTAAACCCACTCGAAACACAAACTCCACCACACAGCACAAGAATTCCTGCAAACGCCTCTATAAATTACTACAAGGACCTTTTCATAAATCATTTATTAGCTAATATATTCATTTATATAAGCAGTTACAGAGAATCATCAAAATAATATATGATTACTTCCCTGTGCAACTGCTTGTGAGTGAATACAAGCAGCTAGGTCAGAAAGAAATAATTCAAACAGACAATGAACAGGTAATGCACAACACAGTCAAAAACTTAAACCAGAGGAAGATTCTACTATCCTTTTGAAGAACTCACTAGTAAAGGGAATGATGAAAAATTTTGATCGCCACTCTTGAGGACCTTCACATCAGAACAAAAAGGATTTCCTTTTTCCCATTTAAAAATAAGTAGTTATACAAGTACAATGTCTTCGTAAAGTCTTGGACGTTGAAGGACATAAACTCGTCTGGGAATCAAATAAAATATGGGTTTACGCTGAGACAGGTACATTATAGTATTTCTAAAATAATCACTTCAATATGTTAGATAAGTATATGGAAGGACAATAACATGGTTCTGGTACATATGGTGCAGTATATTTTGCTACTGACAAAAACACGGGAAAAAGCTATGCCATTAAAACGGTGTTGATAGTTGGTTAAATAACAAAACTCGGGATACCTATTTTTCAGCACTGAATGTCTGCTTCTATAATAAAAGAAAATGGTGTTATTCTGAGTTTTAATAATTTCAGATGTGTTAACCAAATCACACTTTTCCGATTGTTATCATCAAATATAGTTAAATGCAATGTATGGCATGTTTATAATTATAAACATTTCCTTTAAAGTAAATAGGAAAATAAACAAAAGAAAATATATGAATTGTATATGAATTAGATGACTGGGATCTAAAAGAATTCATGGATATATTTGCAATTACAGATTTGGAAAATAAACGCTATCGCTGTTTCATGATCCCAAGCTCCCAACTTTGGGTAAAAACCCCAAAGTTTGGAGAAATTTTGTGTCATGCTTATCTGAGTGATAACAAGCAGTTGCACAGGGAAGTAATCATATATTATTTTGATGATTTTCTGTAACTGCTTATATAAATGAATATATTAGCTAATAAATGATTTATGAAAAGGTCCTTGTAGTAATTTATAGAGGCGTTTGCAGAAATTCTTGTGCTGTGTGGTGGAGTTTGTGTTTCGAGTGGGTTTACTGCTCGTGCGATTCTAAATAGCTTTCTAGATATTACGAGACCCTGTTACAAAATAACCTAAACAGTTATTGGTACCTATCTCCGTAGTGTAGAACTAAACACAGGCATAATTCCCAAACTTTGCCGTTTTACTACATCCTCCTGAGTTTTTCACATAATTACTACTGATTCTCTTACAATTTTTTGAAACTAGTGGCTGTGTTTTCAAAATCCAAGGAGTGCGAAACCCGGCGGAAATGATCGGACAGTCTTTTCATAAGCCAACAATATCAATTACCTTTAAGCACTTTTTATGGGACGTTAACATGCACCATGCAATGAAACTAAGATCAATCCTTCAAGACTTGGAAGTGGTAACTAATCGCTTCAATGATATCAACAGCAAGCAAACCTAATAATTTGAGACTTTGAAATCAGGATAGTTCTCAGTAATCATTAGCTTGTGACACTTATGTAAGTGGAATATCACTGAGGTAAGACGATGCACATTATTCGACGGCATAGTAGATACCACTTATATTTGCTGAGCTTTTTAAATTTTCACTACATTAGGATTATTGGGATTGGATAGTCCTGAGAATTATTGTCTTGAAGTTTAGATGCATAGTCTTCGGATTAAACTACTCTAAAATATCTTGTATTCCCAAGAAATATAATTTCTTAACGATGTGAGTAGTAAGAGATCACTTTCATAATAATCAAATGTTGTGTTATGTATTCACTAAGTAGAAATAACCTATCATAATGTATTGTTATCGATGAGAAACCAACAAACTATTTATGCACGTAGCCGTAATGGTAAATTGTGGATCGCTAAGGCTTTTGTATCACAGGATTAGTCATAATGGTGGATTCTTGGTTTTAAATCTCGACTCTCAAACATCCAGCCAGTTTCAAATCCTACCTACTTCGACTTGGGAAGCCGAGCAATACGACAAAAACCTACACATAAAATGACTCGCAGCCGAGTACACGGATCTGTACTGAGCTGTATCACAAAATAGATCCAGATATTATCCTTTTGAAAGTTAGATCGGATTTTGTTGATAATTTCAAAGGAAATATTTAAGTTTACCTAAATTTGCTGTAAGTTGGAGGAAAGGTATAACTTGTGTACGCTGTCCGTTCCTAAACCATTTTGTAATTTTTAAAATCAAAGAACGAAAAGGTTTGACGAGCGATGTGCGTAGCTTGCTCCGTAAGAGCAATTGAACTTGTAGACGCATAATTAACCGGACAGTCATAACAACGCATCCTTGATACCGAAGGATGTATGAGAGTGCGTTGTAGACCATATGGTTTGGTGCATAATTTTTTTCAGACTGACCTCTTCCAATAGTTTTGAGATTACTAAAACTGACTACAAACTCAAGGTTCATGACGAGTAATATTGACGCCACTACCTTAATCTACGATATACTGTAATAACTTTAGCCGAAGACTCCATATTCATTGTTAGGCAGGTTGTTGTCTTCAAGTTTGAAATACAAACAACAAACTTGTACTGATGTCTACTCACTAGCGTTTAAGCCCTAAAAAGCTTATGATAAATAAAATCCCACTTAGGAATTATACTATCCTTCACTTTAAGGGAATACTGCTTCCAATAACGCTAGTTATTTCGTTTGCAAGTTGATATAAGTAATTCCCAAGTATTATATAGTAGGATGTCATGGGGGAGATTTGTGACTAAGCTAGATGCTTTTGGTGATAATATAATCTGAGCTAGGTGATTTATTTGAGCTTTTATTTCCATTTTTGAAATCTTCGGCGCGAAACTATAGCACTTTGAAAGAAACCGACTGTCTCCATATTCACTAAATTGTATATGTAGTAGGAAAATATCACTTCACTGTGAAGTGAAACGGTTTACAAGTAGGCTAAAGTTAATTATGTTTGAAAATGGATACAGCTGTCTCTTTTATTGATTGAATTTAATGTTTGTACTTGGATACTAAAATAGTGAGAAACTGCTTAAGAAAAATGACTGACGAAATAAAGGCTACGAGTGAGTCATTACCATTAATGATGACAGAATACTTGTATACATGCAATTGACACTGATTTACATTTCAAAATATACAGCCACATAAAAAAATCCGAAAAAGCACTGAACTATTTAATGTAAAAATCATGGTTTCATAAGAAATCTTTAACCAAAACTACCGGGGTATATTCTACTAATTGTCTCATATTTTAAAAACGTAGGATTAGGACTTAATGAATTATAACTGGAATATGGATGTCCTGGTACAGCCGATGGTGAATAGTCTGCCCTCCTCAAATTGCTCTCATATGACCACATGTATACAGCCATTGTCAGAGAATTCCTAACGTGGCGGGGGTGTCGGTTACGAAACGGAGAGGACGCAGAGTGAATGTCCGACGCTCTAACCGAGTTGGTGAATACGGAGGATCCACATAACGTGGTTGGCAAACCCTGATTCCAAATCAATGGGCTCCAGGATCCTGAGGAGAAATAGGCGTGCGAACCCATTTTGGTTACCGGCTACCAAGGAACTGCATCTCCTAAAATCACTCCACTGTATCAAGGACTAGACCTTTAGGTCAAAGACTCGGGGTGTGGCCCAATAAGAGAACCACCTGCTTCGGTCTGGGCACCCGGGCAGTACCACAGCCCTCACACACATCAACGCCAATTGCTACTGGGCTCATTGTCATTGTGTGGCAATGTTTGTGTTTAAATAAATAAATAAATAGCATTATTAGGTTCGAACACATTCTGGTGGATGACATTGAGGAACTATCACGGGTGTTATACTTAATGATCTAACCATACAGTGGCTTTTGGTAGCGACCGATATATACTTGTTTGAATGAGTGATCATAGGGGTTAACTTTATATTTTGGTCAATGTATACCAACTTAATTTTCATATAAAAAACAGGCACAGAGTGAGGATTCGAGTGATACATTGAATGATGTACTATTACGAATGTTTGAACGTCCGGGTAAACAGCTCTTATTGAAGGTAATGTAAACCAATGTTTCTGCGACCACAATGTCTAGACTATCATATTTGTAGATTAGTCACCAGTCAGCACAGTTTTACTAGAATCCAGCATTACTACAATGTTGTTATGAAATATACGGCAAATACATACAAATTATGCTGCTAGCAACTATAAAGGTGCATATGAAGCAAAACATTTAATTATAATCTATGTCAGTGAAATTTTCGGTGGTTTGTATTATGACCAGATCCATTATAACAGTTGAATTAGAAACTGGTTGTCCAGTGGTTAAGTGTTTGCGCAGTCCTGCATTCGAATCCCGCGTGCGGGACCGTAGATGCGCACTGCTGAGTCCCTTGATACCGTATAAGTTACAATTCTTCAAGAAAGCCTGGTGAAGAGGAAAGGGAACCATAATTTGTAAAAATTCAAATCAAATCCTCGAACCCCCAAAAACAAGTTTTGCGCGTGACCCCCATTTCATTATCGATTATGACACAGATTTCTATTCAGGAAATAAACTGAAACTGGAACTGACCAAACGAATATAACTTTCTGCTATGGCGATTTTCTGTTAAACTCGATGAAAAGAATGCTAATCGGCAGACAAATGCTATGAAGTAATAATACCAATTTATGGCTACTCACAAGACCATACCTAACTGGAGACCCCGAATGGTTAGAAGAGACAAGGCCACTAGCCAAAGGATTTCTAGGTAATAAAGTGACACGTTTATATACAGATAAACATAAAATGAACACCGTAAAGTGTCATAGGCATTTAAAATGAATTAGCTCGTAGGTCGTTCGTTCTCTAATCAATTAAGACCTGACTTTTAGGCCTAATTTTCAGGTATCGTAATGCTACGACAAAACCTCCCTAAATGTGGGGTGCTACACTTATTGGTTATTTTCTGAGATGAGAATAGAGACCAGGAAATACTAGGCTGTCAGTCAGTAACAACGTAGAACTTCGTACGTACGTACATCAGTTCGAGTTGCCACACCACATTAGCAGAGATGCAGTTGTCGATCCAAATCCCGTAGTGTTAGAGGTAATAAGAGTATAAGCAGTATTCGGGAAGATTAGGGTGTAGAGATGTTATTTAAAGAGTATAATCCAATGAAATAAATTTGGAAAGAGGAAAAAAGGGACATGAAGAATTCAGAAGATTAGAATTTGGGAAAACACAGAGAGTGGATGCACCTGCGCCATTGCAAACGATTTTGAGCCATGTCATTCAGGGTCTCTAACCATCGGTTGCTACCCTAGGCTAAATTGAGGTTCTTTTCCTCGATACCTTTTTAACTACAATGATAAGCCCATGAACTGAATTTAGAGACATGAACTGGTCATCTACGGTGCCAACCTAAAATGATTTGTAAGCTTGTTGTGAAAATATATAGATTGATTTATTTCTCCTACAAATGACTATCTAAGCAATTTCATAAACACGTGAAAAACATGAGTTTATGCGTCAAATAATTATATTATTCCTATCAGTACAAATCTATAGTGGTTAAACATACCAATGTTTCTTTCGTAGCTCACTTCTTATGAACGACTACATAACTACTGTACAGACGAATTTCACCATGATTTGATGAAGCCAATTAACTGTTAGATACATAGTCCTATAGATGCTTAACCAAGCACGAAACAAGTCATGTTAATTGGAGTAATTAAATTTAATCATATTTATCTTGTAAACTAGAAAGTTACCAATCTCAGGGTAGCTTGGTGGTCTAGAGCGAGTGCAAGTACTTTGTGATGAGACAATTCTCAGTTTATGATAATGATTCAATAGCTCCGCCCACAGCTGACGAAACTTTTGAGGTTCTGAAACACGTATTGTTAAGATAGTATCACAAAGGATCTGAATTTATCGGCAGAGCTGATTTATTTTTCGAACGAATAACAGAGAACTTAGATGAAAATAATAAACGAAAGATTTGCTGCAAACACACCGAATATGGAAAGTTACTGACTACCTCGAGTTTTAATTAAGGTTTTTGTCTAAAGTACCAAGGTTTGTGAACGAATCCAGATAACGCATAGAAAACTTACTAATAAGACAATGATTTAGGTTCTGGATGGTTTTATTTTCTATTTTTACTGTCCCGCATATTCATTATACGATCTAAGTGACGGCACACAACTGGTTGGGTCTGAAGGAAAAACAAATGACTGTCTAACCTGCTCCAGCGACGACCACAGCAAAAACCCACTGAGAAGGATATCACACTTCTGTACCTCACTTTGACATATTACTATTGCAGGCATTGAAATATTCTGAAGACTTAGAGACAACGACAGCCAATCTAAGATATGTGTATAGAAAGCTCAGCAAGAAATTTATAACCGAATGAAATAGCCATTGAATAAAGAACTGGCACCATAATAACTAGAAACATCAGTTCAAGTAAAATGCATTGCACCTAAGAGCCGAGGGTCAAGCTGCGAAACGCCTGAAAACATGAATGAGTCAGTATTTCCCCTTTTAAAAACTACCGACTGAGCACAAAACTTTTACCTATGGTGTCAGAAGTCCAAATTCCCATACCGAGCCAAAAGTGGAGCACACACGAACCTTAAAGCACCAATATTGAGACTGAACAGGACCTGGTATCAGACTGATAACTTCGTGAAAGAATCTACCAACATTTTAACTTGTCAGACAAACTCTGTAGCACTGTATCAAATACTTAATACAACCTACGCAAGTCACGAAACATTGGTTAAATTTTTAATTTTCGTGGGAAGACATTATGTACACGTTAGTTTTATTAATTAAATGACAGTCGTTTTTCGTTTAAGAACCCGTTTTGTATATATCTTACGGAAAGCTTTCTTGGGTGGACTCGCGGAATAAATTTACGCAGAAAACTGTTATACCACTGCAAACTTACATTAACAGAACAAATTAATATCCACCAACATATATTATCATTCAAACTTCTTTAGCAATTTTGTTAAGATATCCAGCATATTCAACAAATATGTGTTTTGTTTTTGGAACCACGTCCCACAAATCAGGTGTTAGGTATTCATAGGTAGCTCGTATGGCTGCGTACGTTGCTTTAGCTGGAGGTTGAGTTTAGTTACATGGCAATAAATGAACTTACCGAAATTTCCCAAAGTTGAGGTCTGACCCCGAGCACTTGTGTACACATCATCGATACCAGCCATTTGAAGGAGTTTTTTGGGAACTGGAGCACCAACAATACCTGTCCCACGAGGGGCTGGGATCAAACGTACTGACACAGAACCACATTTTCCAGTCACTTTACATGGAACAGTGTGTGGTTTTCCAATCTGATTACCCCAGTACCCTTTCCTTACAGGAATTATTGACAGCTTTGCTTGAATAATAGCACCTCTAATAGCTGTGGCGACCTCCTTAGCACATTTAACTCCTAGCCCAACGTGACAGTTATGGTCTCCCATTGCAACAATTGCTTTAAAACGGGTTCTCTGACCAGCACAAGTCTGCTTTTGAACTGGCATGATTTTGAGGACTTCATCCTTTAAACTTGAACCCAATATGGTATCTACAATTTCACACTCCTTGATTGGGAGACTGAACATGTAAATTTCTTCTAATGTAGTGATTTTTCTGTCGAATACCAGACGTCCCAACTGGGTAACAGGCTTCCATTCTTTTGTTGCAACTCCACGACCACGACCTCGTCCACGACCACGCCCTCGTCCACGTCCCCTTCCTCTAGCTCCAAACGAACCACGAAAACCACCGCGACCTCCACCAGACGATTCCATCTAATAGTGCGATCCCCACGCTCGAAGCTCTTGAAAAGTGCGCGCGTCGGAGGTCTCCAATCCAGAATGCAACATAAAACAAAATGCATTGAATCAGACTTTGCACAGTAGTAGTACATTTTAATTGCTCAGAGAGCATAAACAGGAAGAAAAGAATCATAAATACTTGAATGTACATTTTTTCAACAAGCGCGAATATGTTAGTTTGCTTTTCTGAATTTTTCGTCAATATGTTAATGTACGGTTCCAGGACTTTGTAGCGTCTAGTGGGGACAGTCTAGAGAACCAAATGCCATAGTTTCAGTGAATTCGTTAGTTATTTAAGAGTTGAGTTACCTTGGTTTCAGTTCAATGCACATCTCCAAAATCGGGAGGGTTGCTACACTCAACAGCTATTTTGTCAAAAATATATATTTATAGTCCGTAGAAGTGGAGAGAATTAAAAAGTAAAAATGCGAATCAATAAATCAAGCGATCAGCTGAACCAAAAAGTGGGAGTCAGCGGACGAATGCGAGTGACGACTGGAGAAATAGAGAGAACTGTTTAATCATGATGATAACAAAAATAGTAATTATTGTCATAGATAACTAGTAAGACATGTCCAAACGTTTTTTCAGTCACTTGACAAGCCTTGTGTGGTTACATGATTGTCAGGACGGTTTTTAACATGAAAAAGGATGAGAGTAACAGTGGTGTAAAATTAGATTTCGACTTGTTTACTCCTATTGTTCATATGTCTTCAGTTGAATCACCTTTACTACTAATTGCAGGTTAGAGGAGTATTCCCGAACAAGGTGTTTATCAGCTAAAGATATCTCTGTCGCATGAATTTAAAACTTGGGTAGATTGTATGATTATGGATAATGTAATTATCCCAAAGTTTGTTGGGACTAAGAAACTACAATAAACAAATTTCAGAAAGCTGTATGATAGTCGTGGTTATCACAGTGTTGTGTCGCCCACTGGGTCGGAAAAGTCGTTCGTTGACTTCGCGACCAAATGTAGGACGAGAGAGGTAAAATGCCTGCTGTTAAGGCTGCAATTAAACGCAACTCAATTTCGTAAATGTGCCCCTCAGCTTAGCAACTAATCAGAATGAGGCGGGAATTATTACATCCGCCATTTTCGTAAGCAATGGCGGTCGGCCTTCTTCGTTCTGTGCTTCTTTCAGCTATTTCTTTTGTGTAACTGTGTAATTTAATGTCTCAGTGTGTTAAAATGCCGCAGTTAGTGTAATGTTCTATATGTTGGTGTGGAGTTTATTTTGAATCAGCGATGTTTTCCTGGGTTTTTGCTGCTTCTACTCAAGTCAATGTATTTCTTCAGGCAATCTGGCTAGTCTTGTGTTATAAAATGTCGACCGGCTTTCTTCGTTCTGTGTTTTTTCCGCTATTTCTTTTGTGTAGCTACAGAATTTGATGTTTCAGTGTGCTAAAATCCAAAAGTTAGTGTGATACTCTAAACGTTGAAGCAAAAATTTTCCTGATTTCGCTTTGTTTTCTGGGTTTTACCTGGTGCTACTGAAGTCACTGTATTTATTCAGCTAAGCTGGCTAGTACTAACGCAAGACCTTACGTTTTTAAACGACAATCGGTTATGTTTTACCTTGTTTCCTAGAAATCCAAAGCCGAAGTTCGTTTTCATTTAGCTATAATAATTGTTGCTGCCGTCTGTGACTCTAACTGTTCGCATGTTCGTTCCTAACTGTCCTTTATGATGTTATCGGCAAAACGAAAGGAAACAGTCTGCGTTTTTTTAATTTTCTTCAGTATTATGGACAACACTATCCCACCAACGAGTCAAACTAATACAGAGTGCCAAGGAGTAGGGTATATCGGTATTGATTTCGAAAGGACCCAGACTTCCGACAACTATAGATGAAGTCACAGATGCTACCAATCTATTGCAGAGGGTTTGTTATGAAAAATATGCCATATAGCAGTAATAGAGGGGTTGTACTCATTATGCAGTGTGTTAAAGCAAGCTTAACATTGAAAAGCCGGAAATTTGCTACCAGTGTGTAGTGTATGTTTGCTGTTTTGGCCATAAAAGGAAGCCGAAGTGTCATGATCAGGGAGTAAAAAGGTGATTAACTGTTATTAAGCTCACTTTTTCTTAGATCATATTTCACCACTTGCAAATTTGTGTTTTCTTACGGTATGATGTCAGCTGGTACGTAATATGTTCACCCTTACGATGAAAAGTACCTGCAAATTTTCACCTTCATATTCGAATTATTTTTGGACAACTGTCTTACAGTCTGAGTGCTTCGTACGCTCCGAGAAACTCTATTTCTACAACATTCGTAGTTCCAGTAAAACTTTCTCACGCAGTAAGTTCAAATTAGACACTAGTCTTTCTAAATAAGCCTGTTAAGCTAATATCTATATTCTCTATTTCAGTTAATCGATGAAGACATGTACCACGTGCATCTGTTGTATACTGCCATTTTACTCCAATTCTAACTGTTATATCTTACTTTTGAATAATAAAATTGCTATATGCGGCAAATACAGACTTATTTGTTTTGATGAAGGTAAAGGGGTTCATGGGATTTTCAGCAGGACCATATTAATATTCTCACTAAAGAGCTAAGCGAGTGCGTAAACCAGTGTAAGGTACCATACGGGGTGCATTTTAGTTACTAGTGTTCCATTAGTGCGGGTAGGGGCATTGCTTGCTTGTCATTTGAATTAGAAGCTATAAGATAAGACGCAGGTACGGTTAGGATGTGTAACGTGTGTCCATCCATCAGCTGCCGTGACAACCCATGATGGTTAGAATAAGTTATGAGAGGACCCGAGTATGTAAGTCTCGCAAGAAAATGACGAAGATATGCACCAAATCACCTTATGAAAAGCGCCTCCAATCACTTAACCTCTACTCATTAGAGTATAGACGTCTTAGAGGTGACCTAATGGCTTACAATAACCTTAACAATTCTGGACATCCCCTAAAACACCTACTTAAGCTTAGTCCCAGAAACCAGCGACACAACATAGCAGAACGGACTGTAGACGCAACTTCTACTCCTTAGGAGTTGTCAAATGCTGGAATCCGCTGCCCGCCGAGCTAGTCCAAGCGACTTCCCAGGAGTCCTTTAAGAGGCAAGTGGATCTATTCTTAAGGATAGTATCATACTATGACTTACTAATTTCTCTTTCCTCTTTTATTGTTAACATACCTAGGTTCCTGCCTGGAGGTTTTGGTGACCCCCCGCTACTGGACACGGAAGCCTGTTAAGCGAGAGCTTCTGTTCAGTCCACAGCCATTTGAACACATGAACTAGGTGCTGAGAGGCTCGCTTATCACAAGTTTCTTGCAACGATTAAGTAGATAAAACAAAGTAGCATTAGATTCAAAAATTTATTCAAGAGCTTTCATTAAGAATCGAATATTAAACAAAGGTTTAAACCAAGTTCCCGTTTAAAAGTTGTATTGGTAATGTTAAGCTGCAGTTTTTGTTGTTTTTTTCCAAACGAAAGAGTAAAAGATGTAAAAAAATACTGGAAGTGGTTGTGAGACTAAAATGGAAGTCCAGAATCCTTTTTATAATCTGCTATTCGTTGGGTCTCCCGTAATCAGTTCCATAGGGCCATAGTTCCAAGGGCGAAACAGTTTTTAGGGTCTGTGAAGGCACTTCTGTTGCATTCTAAATGAAAAAAATAGTGATGAATTTAGTCAGAAATGTGGAATAGATAAATAACCAAATTACATGTTTTTTAGGAAAGAATTTATGCAGTTGTGATTTACCTTGAGTTCATGAATATTAGATAAGGTCAGCTACTATTACTTGTGCAAAGCATAGCATGGACTTATTACCGTATTGCAATGTTTTTATTATTTTGCTCCCATTTAAGTATTCCGATGCATCTGTGTCTTGTTTAACAGGACAACATACAAGCAGAGTAAGTGTCTGATAAACTAAAAGTCCCAGTTGTCAAAAAGATTCTTAACATTTGTCCACAGCCAGCTGCATTTAATTGAGACACAGAACACTCATCTTCTAAGACTGTATACTGCAACTAAAAGCTCAGACACTTAGCTATCTTGCTGCCGATGTTATTGCTGGGGAAATTGTTTAGTGACAGTTATCATGAAATATTGTCAGTGATAGATGTACAGTTTAGAAATAAACACCAGGCATACTTATCGCTATCTTATAATGTATGACAGCAACAGCATCAAAGGCACGTTTTTTCCTATTTTTAATCAGACTGATCTGAATCCGTATACACATTAGAAACAGGCAACTCTACTTACTAAACTGATCTGTTTCGTTACAGGCTTCAAGCACTATACTTAAGTATATCATAATTCTTCCAACTAAACTGAATTATACGACAACCACGAACACTAAACTAAGCAATTGTCATAGTTATTGTTTCACTTGCAAAGACATGTTGCTCAAAGAAGTTAAATGGACATAATTAAGCCGATAAAACCAAAACACGAAATATAGGCCAGTTGAGCTTACCTAAGAAAAAAAGAAGGATACATATATACTGCTTTAAAGCAGTATTCAGTATGAATTCATACTGAAGACAACAGGGAGTTGACCATAGAAACACAGTTTACAGTACAACAAACCTTTCTTCAGTAAAATCATGCACTGACAGTCTATCTGGAAACAATCAACTATGTGAATAAACTCACTATGACTTGAGATATCATCTCAGCGTGCAATGGACGTACAGTGTAACGCAGTCGGACGTGGCGAATAAAAATTAAAAACAGAAAAAAATTAACTACATAATCTAGTTATTTAATTAAAAATACATTATGAAATGACAAAATCTGTGGTTACTTGAACGCACAAATGACAGTATGCGATACATTAAGTTTACATGGTTGCGTTGCGGATAAGATCACCCTGCTGTTAATCAGTAGATTTTTTTACCATTGATCCTCACAGTTCATATCGTAGCCTACCATAATAACCAGTCAGTGTGTCCGCCTAAAGACCCAAACCAACGTCCTACTTTAGGATCGACTAAGTGTAGATACTCAAACTGTTTTACTCAAGATGCATCTAAAAACTTAAATGAAGCGGACAATTTAACGAACTGGGTTGGAATTCAGAACAAA